GTCACAAGATCTGTTCTTACTTTTAATTTGGTCGGGGAACGCGATGAAGAAGTTAATCGTGAAAGGAGATATAAAAAATGACAATATTTTCCCTTGCCACAGTTTAATGCTTCTTTCTCTTTTTTCTTTTTCCCTGTTAGCTATTCGACATTTTTTTTTATTTTTTACATTTCCGATGGCGTTGTGAAAAAAAAAACAAACAAAAAAAACAAAAACAGAACAAACTTACAAATAACCTCACTTAATCTTACAAATAAAATTGAAATTAGAACTAGCAGGAAAAGCTTAAGCAGAGGCGCAAGCCTGCTAATTAATATTCGTTTGAATGTCTGTTTCAAAAGATTTTACAAGTATATAATTCAATTATTTACTCGACAAGGGACCTTTCGACATGCACTTTTTTTTAGTTTTACTTGAAATTTAAATCCAGATATACCAGCTGCATGGGTACCTCTACCTGGTGTAATGGTTAACAAGCTTGTCTCGCTAGAACAATTACGACTGAGTCGTGAGTACGATCCTTACTGGGTGCCCCCTACATTCGGCCTTGTGCCACATCTAAGCTATGTTTGGAAAATCAGTGGGGCCCCTCGAGGTGGTGTAATGGTTAGCAAGCTTGTCTCGCTAGAACAATTACGACTGAGTAGTGACTTCAATCCTTACTGGGTGCCCCCTACATTCGGCCTTGTGCCACATCTAAGTTATGTTTGGAAAATCAGTATACCGCCTGCTTATGACTTGCTATTTGTTACCTCTGTGCTCAATGGAAGTACTTATATTGCCATGCTAACCATTTAGTATTCTATGAGCTTCAAACATGTATGGTGTATACTTTCAAGGTTGAGCAGGGGGGTAACTGATTTGGGTTGATATTAACAGCTAAAGTAATTTGCCGAGATTTCACTTATCTATTCTCATTTCCATCAACCATTATGTCATACATTTGATGAAGAATTTTAGCAAGATATTTAGCTAGGTCACAGAGCACAGAGGGAAGTGGGTCCATGGATGTTCTAAAGTGCATGAAGTAAACATAAGTAATCTAAGCGAAAATTTTTTTTAAATTCTCACACACACACACACACACACACACACACACACACACACACACACACATGTGTGTGTGTGTGTGTGATTTGAGCATTTTTAAAATATTATTATATAGTTGTATTAAGCTGTATTATATATATATATATATATATATATATATATATATATATAATACAGCTTAATTAATATTGTAAATTACTCATTAAAAGAATAAATCAATTTAATAAGTTAATGTAATTAATGGCGAACTCACTTCGTTAACTGATTAAGAAGGCATTAATTTACTGACCACTCGCTGACCGACACGATTCTTGTTTTTATTAATTGTACAATGGAATTAGATGTTCAGTCCATATTGCATGCAAGTACTTTTGGCAATATATATATATATATATATATATATATATATATATATATATATATATATATAGAGAGAGAGAGGAACACAGAGAGAAAGAGAATGATAGATAGATAGGCAGATAGATAGATAGATAGATAGAGAGAGAGAGAGAGAGAGAGAGAGAGAGAGACATCAAGGCTTGTGTAAAATATTAAAACCTGACTCCTTACCCATATCTATCTGAACCTAGAAGTAGGGACCCAGAAAACAATAAGATTAATTTTATCCCTATGTTATAGCAATAGTAAGATTATCTGGAGTCTCGACACGGTACTGAAAGAGCTGTATATTTCCCACCGAAGCTAGCGGTCGGTGTTCGAACTTAAGTGTAAGTCAGGATTTCGTTTCTTAATTTTCAACGCAGAACAGTTCTGTCAAAGAAAACAACTGACCTTAAAGTCGCAAAGTTGAGCGAAAATACTGCTTCGTTTCAGCAGGTTGCGTTGAAATATTTATTCATATTGAAAAATTGACCATTTTTCAGGCAATTTTTTTTACGACAAAGAAATGTTATTTTTTAATCTCTCTTACCGCTACTGTTAATTTTTGTATTTGAAGAATAAAAAAACTTTCCTCTATAGAGAAGAGTATATTGCTGTTTATTTACTGTTATGTCGAAATAGCCGGTGTTAAGCATTGAAAGACCACAATAACTTGAAAAGAATTAGAAAAGAAATATTTTAACTGTAAATAAATCTGACTATAATTTATTTATGCGTAAAAAATAAAAATAAAAGAAAGGAAAAGTAAAAAGCAGTTTTAGGAAAGGTTGTTTGATTTTTAAACAAATTATTCCAAGGAGCGAAATGACCATAAAAATGGGGTAAAATTGAGTTACATTTTTATGTAATTCATTTCTATGCTCTATAATAAATATATCGAGCTCTCTTTTGTGGATAATTTTTAATATTTTATATTTAATAAGATTCAAGTAGATTACTTACCCACGGATTTTACCTACCTACCTATCTATCTATCTATCTATCTATCTATCTATCTATATATATATATATATATATATATATATATATATATAAATGATAGAAATTATTAGGAGGATTAGATAATTATATTTAATTAATTCATCGAGTCTGAAAGAAACCTCAACAGAATGCACTGGACGGACGTTTCGTCCTATATGCTGACTCTTGCTTGACGGTAAGGAAGGTAAAAGTAAATTACTGAATACCTTTTCAGTCCAAGAAAAGGTCAGACAAATGTCTGATGACAGAGAATCTCCTCTTTCAGATGCCGCTTTTCTATTTCACTTTTAGGTGTAGGGTTAAACGTATATACTGATTTCTATGCCAGGTACAAAGGAACCACATAATATTTCCTGTAATATATATAAAGATCAACTCGTATTTTGTAGTGTTTAAAATAATTGGCCCTGTAAAAGAAAAAGCCTGCAGTTTTTATTTCGGTATTTCAACATTAGGAGTATTTTGGAATTGCAGCAAAAGAATGCACGATATTCATCTATTTGTCCTTAAAACATTTTAATTTGTATAGAATGAAAATTTTTAGAACATCTTAACTTTTTAAAGAGCAAATAATATATACATATATATAATTAACTAATTCATCGAGTCTGAAAGAAACTTCAACAGAAAGCACTGGACGGCCGTTTCGCCCCATATTTGGGGCTTATCAGCCGTGCGCATCCACTTCCGAGAATTGAAACCTTGACATCATATCATGCAAACATCATACCAACTGTTCCAACGGGCCTCAGCAACGAAGAGATTGCAAATCAGTCTCAACATAGCGCCGCTCGCTCACATATTCCGTGGTGGAACTCAACTGAGATTCTCTCTAACCATAGGACTGTGCACCCAGGAGCCACGTCTACTATCATCAAGCCGCTCAAACTTGAGCATTAGAAGCCGGTTCAAGCAATGATATACAAATGATAGAAATTATTTAGGGGATTGCTTGATAACCTAACTGTCCAGGTTTCAATTCTCGGTAGTGGATGCGCACTGCTGATGAGTCCCAAATATAGGACGAAACGTCCGTCCAGTGCATTCTGTTGAGGTTTCTTTCAGACTCGATGAATTAATTAAATATAATTACCTAATCCTCCTAATAATTTCTATCATTTATATATATATATATATATATAGATAGATAGATAGAGAGGTAGGTAGGTAAAATCCGTGGGTAAGTAATCTACTTGAATCTTATTAAATATAAAATATTAAAAATTATCCACAAAAGAGAGCTCGATATATTTATTATAGAGCATAGAAATGAATTACATAAAAATGTAACTCAATTTTACCCCATTTTTATGGCCATTTCGCTCCTCGGGATAAATTCCCTGGAGCTTGTCAGCACTAAAATGTTTGATAAAAAAATGAATCGCAACGTTTTACTTTTTCTTTTTTTTCTATCTCCTTCTTAAATGACTTCCCCCACCTTATTTGTTGTTTGTTCCTCTGTTTTCCTCTCTTTTTGTTTCTTCTTTTTTTCAATCCTTTTTAATGTTAAATTTAGAAAAAAACATCGTTACGATTCATTTTTTATCAAACGTTTTAGTGTTGGCAAGCTCCAGGAATTTATCCCATATATATATATATATATATATATATATATATATATATATATATATATATATATATATAATTACTTTAAGATTGAAGATTTCCTGTTTGTAAAAGTTTTTATCTGAAACAGTTTCATTCCTTGATTTGGAGTTTCTTGAATATCGATTCAAAGGGAATTTTCTTTCCGACCCATTTTTCTTATTTCGTTTTGGGTCTAATATTTCCCATCGCTCTAACGCCAGATGATTATCTGGGATTCAAATAATTTCTCTAAAGACAAAAGTTTTAGTTAATAACAGGATAAAGTTAGAAAATGTTTAAGTATAACAAGAGCCATGAGTGTAATACTAATTATCGGCACGGTTTTAATACACTTTTTTTTATATTTGACTTCCTAGTTTTAAGAGTGAATACCGTCATTCAATTTATTTGACTCTTACAAAAGTGTACTTACTTTGCTGGATGCCTTGTCATGTGTATATTTCTTTTGTAAAGAAGAAGAGTAATGGCTGAATTATTTGGGGATTGATTCGCAGTTCTGGAAAGATCTGTGTCAGTACGCTTACCAGGGATGAAGGACACGATGATCTGTGCAATGGCTTCCATTAACATAATTTAAAACCTTTAGCAAGTGACTTGTACAAACAGCCACTTGGTTTGTAATGAAAAACATCGAAATGTATTACCGAAATCTCATACAAACACATTCAGTTTCATTTTCATCAAGATGAACACGTGCACCCAAGTTATACGCAGAGACACGTGCGCTTGTGTTGAAACGCGATGACGTAGATTTCTATTGGATAATTTCGCCATTCGTTCCGTTGGAAAGCCGTGAGTTAAATGGAAAAGCAAAAAGAAATTGAAGCGATTTCCCGGACAAGATTTTTGCAGCGACTAATCGCAGCCACAAACAGCGAGAAGCATTATTTAATTCTGGGTAATCGTTGCAAAGAGACGTCCGGGCGGCAGAGCATTGGTGAAGATGTAACACCGATAGACTAAGAGAGAAACAAGGTTTTGGAGAGAAAGAAGTCGATAAAGATATGTAAGGAATCGTAGAGAAGCAAGTAAGAGAAGGGCAAGAAAATGAAAGAATAAAGAAGATATCGTGTAAAAAGGCAGAAAGAAAGAAATATTCGTGGAGGCAAGAGGCGGAGGTGGAAAGTGGTGGGGGTTATAAAAAAACGTAAAAAAATAGAAAGGTTGAAAATAAATGTGAAAAGGAGAGAAAGAAGAAAAAAAAACGAGGAGACAGAAAGCGAGTCAAAAGAAGAAAGAATGAAAAGAAGAAAGAAAGGAACCAAAAGGAAAATGTTATTTGCGGAAAGCAAGTAAGAAAGAAAGGTGTTAAATGGAGTAAAATGAAAAAGAAAGAAAAGTGCTAAAAAAAAGAAGGAAACGTTTGAGAAAGAAGAGAAAAATGTTGCGTGGATAATGGGAGAAATGATAGATGAAGATAGAGAAGAAAGTGAAAAAGAAAGAAAATATATTCGAGCGAATGGAAGAAAGCAGAATTGAAAAGAGAGGAAGGAAAGAGAGTAAAAGAAAAAGAGTAGAAAACTCAGAAAATCAGAAGGTTAAATGGAGTAAAATGAAAAAAAAAAAGAAAGAAAAGAGCTAAAAAAGAAGGTAAATACATATGAGGAAAAGGAAAAGAGTAGAAAACTCAGAGCCCAAAAAAGGAGAAAATACAGACATGAATAAAACATGAAGAATTGAAGAAAAGAAAAAAAATGGTAAATAATATGGAAGAAAAAGGGAAAAAGAGAAAATTAGAAAGAAGTAAATTTAAAAAATGATCGACAAGATGAAAAGAAGAAGCGGAAAACGAAGAATAAATAGCAAAAAAAAAAAAAAAGAAAAATAGGAAAGAATGAGAAAAATAGAAGAACAAAAAAAGACTGTATGAGAAGGAGAAAGGGAAGTAAAAAAAAAAGAAAGCCAAAAAGAAATGAAAAAGCGATAAATAACAATGTGCATAGAAAGAGAAAAGAAAGAAAAGTTAATGAAGAAAGGAGATTTTGAGACGATGATAACAAGAATAATCGAAAGAAGATATTATTGTCTTACTTCACCATCACCTCTATTTCCAACCACTTAGAAATAGCACACCTGGAGAAGCAGTTTACCCTCGTTGTAAATGATGAACATCATAAGCAATTTCTCTTGCCATTTTCAATTCTTTTCTTTTGATTTCATCAACCTGCTACTCTTCATTCTTGGCTCCTATCTTCTTCCGTTGTCTCTATGTAGACAGAAATCCGGAGGTTTGTATTGTTTTCATAACAAAACGAGATAAGGAAAAGATCTCAATTCTTCATGATTACACAAAGTATATATATGTGGAGGACCACTTGCCGTATAGTAGTGTTTAACAAGTTAGGCTATTACTACTACAATCCCCAGCAGTTACTCTCCCTGTGCCAGTGAAAGTAAAATCCGTCTACTATTAAAATGCCTCATTTAGGGCGCCTTTCATAACTTAGTGGGTCTTCTCGTAGATCAATATTGTGAGTTCGATCCTCACTGAGGGCCTCACTAGAATCAAGTTAAGCTGATTTTCTAGAGAGATAAAACGCATTCACTAGTGAGCCTATTAAATGCAGTCTACCAATTACTCTATGGGTAAATCTCGCTGAGTGATTGTTAATAAGTTGGTATGACAGATCAAATTACCAAGGTAATGAGTGAATACTTAATATCAGGAAGCGGCAGCTGAAGTTCCTGGGAAACATAATGAGGAAGGAGGGCCTGGAGAATCTGATACACACGGGTCGAATAGAGGGAAAGAGAGACAAGGGAAAACAACGCGTGACATACATGGCGGACTTAAGCAAGTGGATGACAGAATGTGGTTGGGGGCACTGATAGCAGAGGGAGGGAACTTGTTGAGAGCTGCAAGGGATAGAGGGTGTGGAGAGCCATGATCTGTTACGTCCTGAAAGGACATGGCACATAAAAAGAAAGAATGAGTTTGATCCTCATTGGGTGTCTCAACGACTGTGATCCAACTGAATTAACTTTAGTAAGTATACCTATTTTCATAACAGTATAATAATGTAGTGGAGAGTTTAAAAAAAAAAGACTATTCTCAATCAATTCCTTCCACTTCTGTTAGACTGAAGTCCACGATGTTAGTAGTTAAGTAAAGATACCAGGCTTCATATAGATTTTGTGCAGACTGTTTGATATTGTAACTTGCAGCAACTTTTGGTAATAGTAATAGTAATGGTAATAGAAATAGTAATGGTAATAGTGATAGTAATTTAATAGTAATGTTTCCCTTATGTCGAAACATTCAACTCTCATTAACCTCACGTCCAGTGCTACTGTTATATACCGTACCTACGAACACTAATGGTTATGTCCAAGTCCTCATAAATACGTTAGACACTATTGTAAGTGGGAGTAATATACTGTCTACGGTGGCAGCGTGGGAAGCCCTTGCCGTGTCGAACTCTCTGTCTTCGGGCAGAGAGGAACCCGGACGAGGCTATGCCGAAGTGCAGAGACTCGTCCGGGAAGGTAGACAGATACTCGTTCCCGCATATGCGGGGTCTACGGGCAATTTTTGCCCGGGTCCAATGGCTCGGATTACCCCACATTAAATTTGGCCATGAGCTACATCAAACCTCGTGGGGAGGCAGGTAAATATCGTAATATGCTAAGTAGTCCATATTGGTTTACCTACTTCACGTCGCTGGCGTGTATTGTATTTTGCTGGTGTTATAAAGTTTACCAATTCATTTCCAACCCCCGTTTTGGTTATTCCTCATTCAGTAACCCTTTCTAGGTTATAACAGCTACTATAGGTTGAAATTTATAGCATCTTTCTTTTAAAATATTTTTTTAAAGAAAATACGTTTCTCAATGGCAATAGCTAAATGTAACCGTAGGTTCTATTCTGATAGTTTCTTCTCTCGCACTTCTCACCTGTGAAACTCTCTTCCGGTTTCTTGATTGCCTGACACCTATAATCTTCAAAAATTGAAATGTGACGTTAATCGCCATCTAATGTTTTCATGAATGCTGTTATTGTTATTGTCTTTCACCTCGCTAGTGTCTTCTTAGTTTCTACGACTTTTTTTGTCTTAGTGACATTATCACCTTGATAGGGGTGAAATAATTTAAAAAAAAATAAAGAAAACAAAGGTTCACTGTTATCACATTTTTCAGTATTGATGGGAGTTTCTTTCCTAACCTTTTGTTTGAAGTAGTATGGAACGTCAACATCTTGATTATGTCATTATTCTCTCTTCTCAAGTTCAGTAGCAGTTATCGCTCTTTCCAGTATTGATGGGAGTTTCTTTCCTAACCTTTTGTTTGAAGTAGTGTGGAACGTCAACATTTTGATTATGTTATTATTTTCTCTTCGAATTACATGTTGCTATTCATTTTAGCTGTTGCCGCTGCTGAAAGTCCTCAATTTCCTTTTATCTCGAAGAGGTTTTTTTTTGTTCTTTAGTGACAGTCCACGAGGTTAGAAAACGTACGGTCCTTGCTAAAACCTCCAGGATTAATTCCTTGGAAGCCATTTTTAATCATTGATATGAGAAAGCAGCTGTATACAGCAATTCGTTTATATTTTTCTGAATGGGTCTGTCGTCATGAATGATATATGAAAGTTTCTGACGAGGGTCATGGCTTGATTTTTTTCGGTCAATGTTTTGGTTTTGTAGCAATTTGTGGCAAATAATGTAAAGTTTGAAAAACCCGGCAAAATCCAATGTAAATATTTCTGTCAATCCTTTGATTAATTTTATAAGAATTATGAAATATTAACAAGTAGATAATTATCTGAGATGCAATACATCTATATATATATATATATATATATATATATATATATATATATATTTATTTATTTATCCAGCACTTTATGTTTAGTGGGTACTCGTATTTATGAGTAAATGGTCCCTTTATTTATAAAGCAGTATATTTTTCTGTTTTCGTCTGCTGGACTGAATATACGAACATATATAAAGAATCTTAAAGCAAAATAAGCACTCTGCGGCAGGATTTGAACCGCCGGACTGTGGAAAACCGACGGCTGATTCGACGGGCCGCAACCGATTCGGCCACGGAGCAAGTCTTTCGACTGCCGAAGTTTCAAGCGTGCGCCTTTAGGCATGTAACGTTTAATGTGATATATAGTATGTGATATATATATATATATATATATATATATATATATATATATATATATATATATATATATATATATATATATATATTTAGGCAGCAATCCATCATTTATGCATGTTCAAGGATGATTTTATTTATTCAATTTAATTGAGTGTGTGCGTTGTGTGTTTTTAGTGTTATTTTATTTTCCGAACACGGTTAGCACATTGTTGCCGTGTTCGTAATTAATATTATTAAGTGTTGGCTTTTTCTTTTTTTATTGTTAAGCTTTTTTTATTTTTAATCTTTTTTTTACAGGTGGATGAGGTTATTATGTTTGTATTTTTTGCTAGTATGTTTCGAATACGAACACGGCCACAACCATGTTCGGAAAATAAAAACCGTGCACACACTCAATTAAATTAAAAATAAAACCATCTATAATGGTTAAAAAAAACGTGCGGAATTATAGAAAATTTGGAAAGTTTCTATACACTTTGTGTCCCAAAAAGAAAACACTTGTTCGAACACAAGAAAAATTAAAAAAAGCTTGTCTGTCGTTTGTAATGAAACAATTATTTTATATATATTTATTTATACGTTATTTTTATATGAAAGATTCACATATATTTTTTTAAGCAAAAGCTCTGTTTATGCTGTTTATTATAAACAGAGCATTTGCCTAAATATTTGTATCTATATACATGTAATGTATATATTCGTATCTATAAAAATAATGTATAAGAAATATATATATATATATATGTGTGTGTGTGCGTGCGTGCATGTGTATTTGTGCAATTTTTTGTGAGCCGTAATGTTTGTAAATTTTTTTAACACATTCCCATGGCATCTATTTTGAAATAGACCATGGAAATTACGTTTCACGGCACCTAGTATCACATGTGGTACTACATTTTCAGTCTGAACTGAAATGAGACGTTGATTTGAAACTTATGAATGAAATTATAGAAGCAATTATTTTCTAGTTCAGTCACAGCTTCCAATATTGTGAATATATATCTACAGAAATAATTTTTTGTACATTAACAACGTTGTGCTCTTTTGATTAAATGAGCGATAGAATTTTGTTGGAAAATAGTTGATCACCATTTGATTATGGATTAGTGATTTGAACAAAGGACTTCTTGCCCTTAAGTCTGTCGCTCTTTTCTCATTATTGTTTGTACAATTACCAGGAGACTGATTCAAATTTTGGTTTTCAACCAGACTCTTCAAATTTTTCTCGAAGACGTACAGTCATAGAATTATTAATAATTGTTCTGTTCAAAGTATTTCATGTGTTATGATTTAATTTTAAGTAGGTGGAAAAGTGCCTTCCTGTAAATTTGGAGACTGAATACACAGGGGAAAACAGTTTTTAAAATACAAATACTGGAAACTTTTACCTGGTATTTATTTATTTTCACCTTTTAGATAACATACTAAATATAAAATATTAAGATTTAAATCCGAGAAGTTTCGATTTTGAAAGGGTTTCTTGTTAAAAGTCGGATTGTTGTATATTTTTCTTACTGTATTTACAATTTCAAAGATTCTTAACATTTTTCTTCGAAAGAGAAGCGGAGGAATCAGCTTTTCCTCTGAACAATAGAAGTGGGAGAGTGACAGATTCTTGGGAAATGGCCTTGGTTTGTTTTCACCTTTGCAATGACACTAGAGAAAACCGCTTTGCGTGCTTGAAGGATTGGAACAATGGTGTTAAAATGGGAAATGCTTAAGGAACGCCATGAGAAAGAGAGAGAGAGAGAGAGAGAGAGAGAGAGAGAGAAGAAGCAGATCAAAGCAAACTTGTAAAATGAAAGTGACAAAGAAAAATGGAAGAAAGGGATATT